GTGTAGAGACATGACATTGTGAATGGGACAATCTTAACCCTCCATTCAAAATGGAGGGTTGGATAAAAGAGAAGATAGAACTTCTTACGAGAAGCATATGCCTTATTGTAATACCATCCAAAAGGCTAAAACAAACCTGAATAACGAATAAGAAAAGGATTAGCAATGAATTTACAGAAATAGAAAAAAATTAGAAAATTTTACATCAGGGAAAATCCCATCCATACCTCTCATTCTACAGGGTAGAACCCATTCCTAGGAGCAATATGGAGAACAATGACAGATTTGACTCCAAAATATACCTCCGTCACTTCCAACTCTGACTTCGTCATACGAAAACGATCAAACAAACACCCTTCAAAACCAAGCTCTCAATCTTTGTCGGGAAACCAACAAAAAAGCTAGTCCATTTTTCTGCCACCGTTCTCTCTCACAACGAACTGGGTCTCAATTGTAGCACTTTAGTTGATCCGCAGAGTAATAACCCTCACTAGTCCAATCTCCACTTCAACCTAACAAATGCACTAAGAGAGATACTCTTGACTGAGTAAAGTGATGATATGCTCATTATCCACGTTCTTCATCGAGTCGCCACTGCCTCGGCAAATATACCATGAAATTGATGCTGTATTAATTGGCCGAGGAAAACGATGAGTTTCTAACAAGCAAGATGTGATTATTTATATTTTTATAGAGGTTTTGGATATGGAATTCACAGTTCAGTTTCTCCATCAGCACTAAATGGGTTTCCATATACCTGCTGAAGGAGTTGCTTCCTGTTCTTTTGTTGTGTGCAATATAACCGTTCCTGAAAGCACCGTAATGAACCCACACAGCTCTGAAGCTATACTGCTCGCACTCTGACCAGACCAATCCTGAAGTCATTACAAAGCATTTTTTGCTTCAGTAATAAAAACAAAATACATTTTTGATGAGGATCCTTGTAAAATGCAGTAAGAAAAAAAGAAAAGAAAAATATCAACAAATATAAGCTAAAGATACGGATACAACCTTGAACATTATCGCACTTGCAAGTATTGTGAGTGATGTGAACATCACATAGTAGATTGGAGATACAATGGCAGTATTGAAGGTATCCAATGCCTGGAGAAAGAATATAACAAGACAGAACACAATAAAGCAGATTCCAGTCCCAAGTCATAAAGTAGAATATGCATCTAGTATTTGCTATAAATGAATTACTACAATAGCAAGCATGATTACTAAAGTTTACAACAAATAGAATTTATCCAATTAGCATCATTTGACGACTGTAATTTGAAGCAATAGTCATGATCAAGCAAGAAAATAAAATGGGTAATGGTACAGAACCACGATCATGTAAAAACATCACATCCAAATGCAAAAACCAAATAGAAATTCTTCTGCTAAATTAAATTTTCTATGCATGTGCAACCCCTTAATTATATCCACACTGTGCTGATTTTGTTCCTAATAGTACATGCCAACAGGTTTCTTAAGAAATTAATCACTAAAAGACCCCAACCTTGAGTTGGTGAACTTGTCTGGCTAAAGGACCCTTGTTTTGTAAAATCTAAGACAATCATCATTTACACCACATTGTAATCTCTTATCAAATTCACAGAAATCTCAACTGGAATGCAACTACAAGAATCAAAAAAGCATATGCAACTATGTCTTTTGAAGGCCTAACATCTATCAGCCAGGCAACCATGTATGACATTTTACATTCTGTTAAGCTCAATGGCTTCTCCATGGTCTCTTAACAAAATTCTATGAATGCCAAAATCACAATAAGTGCTTGGAGATTGAAAATATTCATTCAATTGTTTCCACATCACTGTCCCCGTTGATTCCCACCCATAAGCGAAATGTGTGATATTAAAAATTAATTCCAATGGTCTTCAGTGAGCGATAAGAAAGAAATGTGCACCTGCATTTGTGTAAGTAGATATTCAATACATAAACCCAAGGAACTTTCAATAAAAACCCATTCCATTATTAGTGCCCATGTGTTCTTTCAAACACCTAGCACCACATGTCATACTTCATTAACATCCCGAATAATCAGTTACAAGTCCCAACCAGTAGGCTACTTACACACAAGGAGGGGGCTTTTGACTACAAAATTCCAACTGCTAACTAGAATTCCACAATTCACGAGGGCACAATTGCATTATAAAGGCTTTAATTTTGCAGTTAACGATCAAGAATCGTGTCGAAATTCTCTTAAGTTCTATGCAAAATTATACCAAAGGCCTGTTTCTGTATCCAATGGGCGATACACTCAAATCTTGCCATTCCACATTGTTTTACAGCACAAATCGGGTGAGATCTCAGATGAAACCTCCCCAAATTTATGCTTTGAACTGTTAAAATTAAAGGTTGGTACAGATTTGTGGGATCCTTCAAATTACAATTCAGAAAGAATATCGATTTCAAACGAATAGGATTCTTTGAGAATCGCCAGGAGATCCAGCTTGAGATCATGCAAAATTCATAGCAGAAACCCAAAAGTTAAAATTAAACTAAATTAATCAAAAAAATTAAGGCAAAGAAAGAAAGAAAAACTTACCTAGTCGGGCCGATTGACGTGGCACACCTGAAGACCTAGAGTTGATGACCGCATCAAGCCACAGGTTGTTTACACCAATCTCCTCTTTTCTTGAAGAAATGCCTAAGACATATTCATCCAGGGGATTTTGGGTTTGAATAAAATTTTGAAATTAGGGTTTTGAATGTGTTGAAAATTGGCTAAGGCTTCTTAGATCTGGATTAGGGTTTGAATGTTTCTCTCTAGAGTTAGGGTTTAAGGCTCTACAATCTCCTAAGGCACTAAAGATGGGTTAAATATTGAATTGGATCCCTAATTGGGCCCTTTTATAGATTGTAGTCCATGTCCAAAACGCATTTCTACAAGTTTCCAACATTATTATCTCGACAAAATTTCAAAATCTTCCAAGTAACGGGTTTGGATGACACAGTTTGCATGGTGTAGACAATTTCTGAGTAGACAACGCAGTTCCTATCGTTTGTTCATCTGGATCAAAATGGAATTTTTTACAAACAAATTTGTTTGGCCATAACTTTCAAAAGGTCACATTTGGACGATTCTTGAACCGTTGGAAAGCTCGTGATTTCCTCTACAATTTAGAATCAAATATAGTACAATTTGAGTGAGCTTTAAGGGGTCCAGGGGTCTATAAGGCTAGGATTTTAGGATGTCGGCTTTCAGGCTTCTAGGTGTCAGATCGGTGTTTAGGTTTGTTTCCTATGTTTGTTAAGCTCAAGGGCGTCTAGGATGACTAGATTGGGA